GTGTTCTAACCGGAAATTCACAACTCCTGTTTCCGTGGACCCAGAGTATTGAAACTTGGTGGGGATACGAGGGGTAGGATGAGAACACTTATGGTGGGGGGCAGGATCGGACTCCGTTCACAGGGGGTGAGGTGTGCGCGATAAAATTTTGGGCCGCAGATTCATGACTCCTATTCACGTGGATTCAGAGCATTCAAACTTGGTAGGCGTACGGGAGGCAATATGGTAACACTTATGGTAGGTAGCAGGACCAGACTACGTCCGCAAGAGGCAGAGCATGCGCAGAGTAAGTTTGAGAGGAAATTCGTAACTTCTGTTTTCGTAGATATGAAGAGTTCAAATTTTGTAGGTTTTCCTAAAGGGTGTAAGGTATGACAGGGTCGTAGGAACTCGGCGAAAGAGTCGATAATAAGTGATAAGGGATGATAGGGAGTCTAAGAAAGCAAGAGCCACTCACCGATCAAAATCCTCCCGCGTTCGGTATTTACGGTGTAGCTTTGACTCCTCAGTATGTTTCATTCGATAAGACGGTATGGTAGAGTATGGTGACAAAAAGTGAGTGGTAAGTGCAGTGATAGAGATCCACTGGCGGTACTACGATAAGCAGATGAGAATTTGTTCATTTCTTGCTGTGAGATTACGGCCGCTATCCAGCAAGGTTTTTGATTCAATGAAGGATCCCCTTTGTTCGATATAATTCCCGACGAACTCAACCGAGCGCCAAATATCTGGAATTCTCATTAAATGATATCACAATGATATCACTGTAAAACAAAAGGTTCCATTGATAACATCTTATAATGGTGTTATCATCACTCACAATATTGTAAGTACCGCCCGAGGCTTTTGTTGCTAACAGTTGTATCTTTATTGGGTATTTATTTGAAAAAAGGAGCAAAGGATTAAGATCTCCGATTGAAGGCGTAAGCACCTACTTACACTGAATACCATTTCCTCTGCTCTGTTAGCCCTATGTCAAACTTCATGTACAGGAATATATTATTTGTTTCAAAGGAGTGAAGATTTATCAGATTACTACAACTTTGCCGAAGAAGGAGGGAAGTCCGGCGTTAGCCGGGTGAACCGACTGGTCTCATATATAACTTCGTGATAGGTAGTGTGTGTGTCAGTAGTAAATGAAAACTGGTCTATGTGTTCCCTCCTAGCATATTGCTAGAAATTTTTGGCTGGAGCTCCCTATTTCCCCGATTTCAGTTTTCAATTGTGGCAATTCGCCGTATCTTTGTTACCACGTTCACTTCAATACGATTATCATATTTATGTAACAAAATAAAGCAACAACGATCATCACAGATAATAATAACAGTATGTTAACAATAATGAAGAAAAACAATTCAAAAAACGTTCAGACACGTCACAAGGCCACATTTCTTCAACACCCTAAAGATGGTCTTGACTGATTTGATCGAAAGGAAATCCATAAGGTCGTAGCTGCTGAACAACGCCATTTTTTCGGTTTTGCAAATTTTGCAAAAATCACACTCCAAATAGCAATTGGCGTGCGATTCGACTGCTGAAGAGTAGATGACGTCACATGTGGGTCGACTCTTCTGAAAATGAAAAACAACTCAGTGAAAATCTAGTAGAAGGTTCTGAAAGCGGTGGGAGAGCGGTGCATGGAATAAGCCATTATTATTGGAGAATAGATCGCAACGACCAATTGTAGGCCCAGATCGAAAGTTCGACAGGGATCTTGATTCTGATGGGAATCCCACGATTGCTTCACATTACTACACATTACATTACTCGCAGGGATATATGTATGTAGTGGTGTAGTGGGAGGTGGCGCACTCTCACATCCGCGTGGTGACAGGCTCGAATCCTGGATCGATATCCGACTATGCCAACGAAGCTTTCCATCCCTACTGGGTCAATTAAATGGTATCAGGCTTCTCTTAGAGGATAAAGCACTGACTTGTACATCGACTGGCCACCACGAGTCATTTAAAGATCAAATACCCATTCAGTACGCCGCTACGATTCCTAGTGGGACTCGAATGCGGGGCGTATCCCTTGAACGGGGTTAATTAACGCCATAACAAAATGATGTCACGGTAAGAATCCAATTTGGTGAAAATTATTTTGTCATGAACTTCCAACTGCCCACTGGGAGGAGTTCAGATAGGAGTTTCTGGGCTGGTTGCAACTGTACATATGGAATGAAGTACTGACATACCTTGAAAAGCTCTTTAAGGTGATCAATCAGACATTCTCGTGTACAATTGAGAAACCGTTGACCGGCAGCAGTGAAACGAGATACAATCTCTGAAAAGATTCTGAGTGAGACGACGATAAGTGTGAATAACGGTGTTCAGCTGTAATCTTAAGGACAGTTCCTACAACTTACTGATACCGCATAAAAGTGATAAGTAAAGTAAAGTAATAAAAGTGGGTGAAAAAGGCGAAGCTGCTCTGGAAATGGCCCTATGCTTCCTCCTGTCACTTATGCGACTACAAATTTTTCAGCACTTTCCATGCCCTATGGCCTTACTACATAGGTGTTACTTCCATTTCCCATGTCATTTTTATCTCTTAGCGCTAGCGATGATGGAACGGATACTAATTGTTGGGCAGTTTTAGCAAAAAAATATGGAAAAGCGATAATGCGCATAAATTCCCTAATTTATAACGATATATAAATCTCACCAATTCCATATAAGAAACATGTGTGACGAAGAATCGCCTTTGCGATATTTGTTTCTTCTTAATTTACTAACGATCGGAAAATTGGTTTCAAGCATTTTCAATCAGGTTTCCTCATCTTTTTATCGTTCTTTACGGTACACTACCATAATCGGGACCATCCTACTTACTATAAAGCGCTTCTGTCTGTCTGTCTGTCTGTCTGCCTGTCTGCCTGTATGTTTATCACGAAATTCCTTAGCTCCTTCAGATCTACCTGGAGAGACCGGGTCAAGGTGGGATGGGTGGGCCAGGTCCCGAGAAGTATAAAGCACACATCAGGCTTGCGGAGCCCCGCCCACAGTGGGCGTGGCGTGCATCGAAATGAGCTGCACTGAGGACCATGATTTCCAATTCAGTAACAAGACGGCTCCAAAACTGGGGTTTGAAGGTGGCTAGAGGTGTGCATTGGTGAGTGAATCGAGTTGGAGAGACCCACCCCCCATGGGCGAGGCGTTCTCCAAAATGCAGTGCTTTATGAAAACATTTATAACTCAGTTTGGAGAAAGCCAACAGAGCAGGCAAAAGTTGATGTGGGAGAAGCATTGTCGAAGGTGTCTCCACTATAAATGACGTCAGCGGAGGCCCGCCCACAATGGGCGGAGCGTGCCTCGAAGCTCACATCCATTCTTATATTTATATACGAAAATCCATAACTCCGGTTTCCATGGACCTAGAAAGTTCAAGCTTGGTAGGAGTACAGGAGCCATGATGTGAAAACTTATGGCGGGTGGCAAAACCAGACTCCGCCCACAAAGGGCGGGGTTTGGGCGAAAATTTATAACTCCTGTCCCCATGGACCTAGGAAGTTCAAACTCACTAGGAGTACCGGCGACAGGATGGAACAGTTGTGGTGGGTGGCAGGACCAGGCTCCGCTCTCAAGGAGCGGTGTTTGAACGGAAACTCGGAAATCCGATAAAGGTATATAATGAAAATCAGCTCATGTGGCTCCGTTTCTCATGGCTAGAGCCCCTAGCGCACGCGAATGCGTGCGTAGCTGCCTGGTAGTGTAGTTAAGGGCATTCGACAATAAGGGTTGCGTTAGAAGTGAAAACAAACCTGGTGCATTGAAAATTCGACAATTCTTCATCCCATATTGTAGCAAGTAACCATTGACTCCACAAGACACATTACTTTCGAGGTCTTCGTAGATATCGCATTTATCAATCGAAGCCTTAACTAATTTTCGAAAAAGGTTTCGTCTGCTGTTTAAAAAATTCTTGTTAAAGTAGTGTTATAGTCCAATATAGAAAGATATGTGCAAATCGTAGCCGTTGTACATGTCAGCTGAAAGCAGTTGCTGTTATACCCTCAAACTAGCCTAGCACCCATTAACCGTTTACAGCGTTGTGGCAGGGGTCCGATACGCTAATCCTTGAATTTTGAGAATTCATGAATGCAGGAATTAATTCTAAAAATATACGTGTGGGTTTTTTTCTAAACCATCAAAAATGTTTTCAACTCCCTATGATTCAGTTCCCTCTTGTTATATAGGGCATCTACTAAGGTTGAAACGGGAAACTTACTGAAAACAGCTGCATGGTTGAAACGAGTATCATGAGTATTCGAGGGTACGTCATCGTTCTCAGTCTTTTTCTGTATCTGAAAATTCTAAAACTTCAGCAGACTTACTAGTAAGACGCGAGCTCATAAAAACAGGTATAACAAAACAGAACAGAAGAGACTTCGGTGGGGGTGAAGTGGGACTGCTGCTGAATAACTAAACCGTTTGGGCTCGTTCGAATCTTAATACGGACATTTTGAAGACACGGATAGTGACAGTAACTGTGATATTCACAAAGCATATTTACCCTTGCACAAAAGTACTGGTAAATATGTAGTCACTAAAACGCTTAGAAAATGAGAAAATTAAAAAAGAGATACGGTATGCCTAAAACTACTGTTTACTGTACTATCTTAGATTTATTGGGTGAATTATCTTATAAAATGTAAAATTTATGTGTGTAAAAGCTGGTTGAAGTTGTCGCTTGGATCGCTTGGCATATATATAATTTTCTGTTTCTGGATGAGCCCCGCGTTTGAATTCTCCCTGAAAATGAAATGACAAATGCCAAATGAAATGCTAGCATGCGATCATGCATGATTTTGGTCGAAGGGTAGCATTATCTCATCAGATTCATCCCGTAGAGAGGTAAGATCAATTGGTGGAAAAGGAAAAGTTTCGGAAGGAGTCAGCTCTTGAGAAATAGCGAGCGGGATCGCCTCCTCGCCATCGCCCTCGAGATTTTCCCTGATCTTGTTAGAATATTACGACTAAACCGTCCCCATTCCTCCCGCTCAGGTCTCCTACTGCCACTCTATTATTCATTGATTGTCCAGTAGGCGTTCATGGATAGCGATATCGCCATCGAGCATTTGTTCCAGCTATGAAATAGAACCTTGAGACCCACGAAGGCTAAGACTTCGTTCCTCTGGGGGTTCAGTCGTTTTTGAGTGCTGAAAAGGTTCGTGGACCGACCTTCTTCGGATGTATTGAATAGGGCTGGCATTCCAGAAAGCTCTGAGGGTATCAATTGTGACAGAAACTTTATTGTTTATCTAATTGTTTGTCTAAAGGACACTTAGGATAGCTCACATATTTTCTCACAAAATGAACTGATAAGATGAAAAAAAAAGACTGAAGGAAGTTGAGTAGGTAAACTTAAGGCACTTGTAAAGAGGTTCAACTCGACTAGCCCTATCCACCCTCTTTCCTTTTTGAACGTGAAGTTTCTGAATAGAGGTTGTTCTGAAGAACAGACGGATACGTTCTGCAGTAAATATACCCAATGAGGGGCAGGTTTTTTCTAGCAAGGTAAGAAATCCCCAATATGGGCTGTATGAAGTAGGCCAGACCCAAGTACTTACCCTGATCGATTCAATTCAAATAGTGGCAACAATGTTTTCATTAGAACTAACCGAGAGGAGTTTTTCGATGTTTTCATAGAAGCAAAACTGGTTTGGAATTATTGCAGTACAATTTCCATCGGTCCGATTTCCGATTAATCAAGGCCACTGCCATTCAGTTCCATGATTATCATGACAGTGGCTTGCCACAAGCGCAGGTTCTTAAATTTATAAATTACTGATGAACTGTATAGTTCTGTACATGGGTGAAAAAATATTCAGTTGAGTAGGTTACAGATTGTAAAAGTTTTAAACCAGCAGAATTCATGGACGATTTACATGTCCAGGATATCTTCCTGAAGAAGAAGGGCTACTCGGGCCAATATTTCCGTATCCGTATTTTTTTAACCAATTGTCAAGGGTCAGACAAAAAAACACGATGCAGCGGTACTGATAAGCAGTTTAACCGTGGGCATGGAGCTAACTAATCCGGACCGGGATCTGATCCCTGGCAAACACTAATAAGTAAGGAATCGATGAATTTCTGGTGTGAACTATTTATGTGGATAGCTTTGGCGCAACGTTTTGAGGCATAAGGTCATGTTTATAGTTCGAGATCATTTTTCCAGCAACACTTTCGATATGTATTGATTGGGGCGCCGAATCAGATGCCCAGACGCTGAATT